GTCTGGGTCAGCAGAGATGTATAAGCGAGGTCTAACCCGGGAGCTCTTTGCTGATGCGCCAGGCCCTGTGTACTTGAAGAAAAACACCTACAGGAGGCAGTTATCTTACCTTAAAAAGCCTTTATTATGTGGGATGATGTAGGAGGCGTGTCACTTAGCCTCTTCTGAATTCCTCTTTTGGACTCCATTGTAAGGCCTACCGACATCAATTTCTGGGTTATAATTTTCTCTTCTTTTTCATCTTCTCTAATTTGTATATTTTTGCAAAGAGGAGGCAATTTTGCTCTCTTAATAGTTTGCATGCTGGGTCCTGTTCCCTACCTTTACTTCGGTTGCGTTGTTGAGCAATACTAGTCCCATGTTCCTACTCTGGATACTTCTGTCTTGTGGTATTTATGACTATTTCATGATGCTTATGGTTGCTAATAGAGTAGCTGCAGCATAGACCACAGTCTTACTGTGGCTTGTCAAATATTTTCTATTTACGGTGATATGAGGTTGTTGGCGTAAGTATGGCACTACTCATCATACGGATAAGAAATCCTGACTAACAATATACTACCAGGTAGAAGTAATGTGAGCTTCACAGTCAAAGATTTTCTACAAATTTGTCTCGGTGAGGGTACAGCACTACTAAAAGCAGTTCAAATTTGATGTATGGGAAATCCATGGAGCCAAAGGATTGTTGATCTTTCACTGATCGTGTCCTCTTCATCAAAGCCTTCATTAAGGAAATGTTAGTGATGGCCTGGATGGCCTTCACAAGTGGAAATCAATGTGTTTTGTCCCACTGACTCTTCAAGTGGACAAGGGAAGTAGCAGCAGGACAGGTTTGTCAACACGTCTTGGTTATGGCTAGTAACAACCCTGCCTGCATTCTAGGGATTGAGCCCCTTCAAAGGATAGGGTGAAAGAAACATTAGTGTGATCACGATGGGTTTTGGGGGTTTATGGCTTTCTAAATATCTTCAATGTCCACTAATCAGAAATCTTCTAAATTCATATTGGTTGCTGCCGCTGATGTTATCTCCAGCTTGAAGAAAGTTATAAACTGGATCATGCCATGCCAACACCGATGTAAAACATTTGTTAGAAGAATTAGTAAAATTCTTGGGTTGGGCTGAATCTCTGATTTCTATGCGAACTCAATTTTGGTCATATATTCAGAAGCCTGCTGTACTTCAGAAGCATTTGAAATCCTGTCTCTCTAGGTCTTGGATACATTTTTCTCAGTTATTTTTTCATACTTGTCACAGGTGTTGAAGGCCTTCACAAAATACAGAGCTTAACTAGATATTTGGGCAAAAGGCCTTTTCTGAAATTCACTATTTTATGGACTATTTGCTAACGCTGGTATTATCTGGCATGTTTCAAAGTAGCCCAAGAGTTTTAGTGTCTAAATCTCACTTGGATGCTTTTGAACTAATAACATTTATATTTGTGTTTTAAAAGACATGGTTTTGGACAAAATTAAAATACATGGGGGAAGGGGGAGAGAAGATTTCTTTGTTTTTACCTGGAGGGCAATTAAAGCTACAAGAAAAGAATCAAAACCAATAAACCAAACAACTTCATAATAGGTTGGTGAGTTTCTCATTTGTTTTTTGTTAATTTATCATTATTTTCAAAAGTGAATAAAAATCAGAAAAATCAAGCTGATACAGGTAAATATTTTTGTTCATTTCGGAAGCAAGATTGCTGATGACAATTCTGATAATACACATGACACTGTAAATGCTATCCATAATTGCATGTTTCTCAGAACTCAGCATAGTCAAGGTCAGCACCCGTTTCTCAAATGCAAGTCAACATCTGTATTGTTATGTGATTTGCATGAAGAAGATGGCTTGTAGGTATAATTAGACACTTTTTTTCATGATTTTTTTTTTTTTTTGCTAATTATCTGGTCGACAAGGAAATATAGGAGAAAACAACTGGCTAGTAAACGCTTTTCTTTGTGAGTGTTCAGTTGTTTTGTTTTAAATGATTCTGCAGTGTGGAATTTTCTTTAAAAACCATGTTTTTAATAGACATATGATGTAGCTGACTCAAAGAAGCAAAGTTCTTGTTCTGACAGGCAAACTGCCAAGGTAAAAAGAGTAGGGTCAGAAACTAGAAACCTGGGAGCAGCTGGAAGAAAGGTCTGTTTCTGTCACACCAAGTGAGGGAGATGAAGTCTCTTGAAATGTGTGTGCTGGGACTGTATGGTGGGAATCAGGATACGTTGGCTTTGCTTTTGGTTTTACTGTGGGTCTTCTCTGACCTCGCACAAGCACAAAATGTTTCATCTCTTTCTTGTTTGCACCCATCAAAAAAGGAAATATGATAATAACAGCCTTTCTTAGAGTGTTTTGTAATCTTGAGAGGTGTGTGTTGAGGAGGTTTTTGGGGTTTTTTTTGGTGTTTTTTTTGTTTTGTTTTTTTTTTTAATTCTGCCTTCTCATGGAAGGAGGGCCTGTGGGATGATCCTCATTCTATGTGCACATCCTACCTTTTTGAACCCCATGGCCTATTTCAGCTAAGTTTTACAAAGAGATATCAGTCTCAAATCTGTACGGTTCATATGTGTAGTGTCTCTGACAAGGGATGCATCAGAGCTACTCTGCATGTGATCTGGATTGTTGTGCATGTACAAGTTGACTGATGCGTCCTAAGCTTTTTACTGTACTGTACTTTGAAATTTCATTTGGTATGTAAAAGCTGTGCCACGTCCTGCATTGTAGGTCTGTGCCTGTAGAGCTGTCAGGTGCAACCTCCAATGTTGCAAGGTGAATTTTGGCTGAGGAAAAGGCAGAAGAGTGACCTTGCATCTCGTCAGAGAATCCATTCAAGAATCAACGTTACTGGGAGGAAATTCCTGCTTGCACTGTCAAGTCAATCAATCATTACTCTCTTATCTATCAGAAGTTGGACTGTGTGAAGTTGATCCTAGCGCTCTCAGAACTATCTCCAAATTGTTAATGCTGTCCTAAATCCTAAAGCCTTAAAATAACATGTTTTATAGTTAGATATGAATTCAGGGAAGATCCCTGGCAGTAGTGGTTTTTTTGTTGAGGAAAACCAAATAAGGATCCCAGAATTTGGTGTGAAACTGATGTAATGCTGTAGTAGCAGAGATCCAGGTGAGCGTGTCTGGGGATGGAAACAAAAGATGTGGAAATGTAGACAAAGCATCTGGTAGTTAGAAGAGCTAATTGTCACTTCCCAGGCTGGAGCCTTCAGAGATCCCAAGGAACACCTTAAATGCATTGCTCTGAAATTGTTTACACCTGCTGTTGTGCTGAGACACTTGGTGTCCCAGCAGGTATCCCATCATACCATCAGGGAACAGTGAGAATCCAAAGACTGTTACTGTGACTCTTGTCATGGCCAACTTGTGGATCACAGGCTGATGTGCTGAGTTCTCTCCTGGTCCAGGAGCAACTGCAGGGAACTGAAGAGAGCCAGCTGTCTAGACGCTATTTAAATTGAAATCTCTGCATTCAGTTATTTTCAACTTCAGGTTTTAAGTGATGCTGAATAGTCATGTAGATTTGTTGCTAAGATCTTGAACCTCCGTTTGAGAGGTTCCCAACCTCTCCACTGGGTTTTATAGAATGCAGAATTTTGGGTGAGTTTGGTGCCCCAATGTACTTGCCATTTGAGATCTTTGTTTAAATCACTGTTCAGGTCACAAGTAACACTGAATTTAAGAGCCTCATTTTAACTGACAGATTTTTTTTAAGTCCAGACAGAACAACTATGACCTGATCTCAGTGTAGCAGGGAGCATGACACTCCACAGGTATTTCTGCATTGCCATCATAAGTTCTCTTTGAGACTCAAAGGCTGTAAGTGATCGAGAATCTGCTCATGACCTTGGTAACTTGTTTTGTTGGCTAATTATCCTCATGGTCAAAACATCAGTGGCATACTTGTCCTTAATTTGTCTAACTCGCAGATCTTGTTAGGCCTTTTTATTGATGGTAATCCAAGAGACGGAAAGGATTTCGTACTTAAGTTTGTTTTTTGAGGTCCATCAGTCAATGCATTGATATGAATTATATTGATTACACTGATTTTTCATATAGAGATGGATTTTGATTAGAACAGCCCAGATATTTTTGTGGAAAGCCATTCCAGAAAGAGATGAGAAATATTTTAGTGTAATCTGGCTCATTGTGGGAAAGGTATCACCCAGTTTTAGATCAGTCTAAATTTGCTGTCATAACTATAATTTTTATAGTAATTTTTGCTTTTATTCCTTGCCTTTTGTAGCCCTGAAATATCACTGATGATTTATTCCCTGCCCCGCTCACTTCCCCCCCCCCAATCCTTGCAAATTGTATATTTACTCTATGAGTGTGAGAACGCTGTGGTGCCTGAGATCCTGCTAACCTGCAGGACTTTTCCAGTAATTAGATCCATGTTTGCTCCATGGGAGATTCAATTAAAAATGAGAGGGTTTTATTATTATTGTTATTCCCTACTGAAACCTCACACTGTGTTTTTGAGTGTGTATGTGACAGCATTGTAATGAGCAGACTTACTTTACCTAATCCCATCCTTATTCAAACGTTATGGGCTCAAAAATTCAACTTGAGCGTTAGCCTAGCCCATTTGTCCTCTGATGAGGATGTGAAAGTAAGAGGGGAAAGACATAGTGCACTACTCATTTGAGTGAACAAAACTAATTTGTATATGTGAGTGAGCTTGGGGAAGAAATGAAGGAAGAAGGGTAGATCATCAAATTGCATTCTCTGAAAGGACAATATTTTCAAGCTTTTCAAGTATTTGATGTTTTAACAACAGCTCCCATCCAGTTGCCATCCCACCAGACTGTCATTCTGGGGGGTAAATTTCAGTCTTGCAAGTGAATTCAAACACAAGTGTGCTCTTTCTCCAGTCTCTGTCTACTAAGTAGAAACAAACACTATCTCGAGATAGCGCAAGTTGGCATTATTTGTTTGCTCATGTGATGATGACCTCTTTATGTTTTCTTTTTTTTTCTTTTTTTTTTAGATAATTGTGATGATGCATTGGTATCTCCCTTACCTTCAACAGCCCTTACCAGTTCCTCTGAGCTCTTCAGTACTCACAGTCCCAGCTTTGCAAAGCTCAACAGGCGAGATGGTAAGGTTGCAGTATGAAATGCCTAAACTATTATTTTTAATTACATTTACAAAGAATAACTTTTAATGTTGTTTGTATGCAGTACATTCAGAGCCAAGTTGAATAGAGCCGTTAGTTTATGCTTCTGTGAGAGCTCTTTTAGGAGCAATTCCTCCCTCTATTATAGAAAACTTCTATTGAATGTGAAGCTTTCTGTGAAACTTCTCTTGTAGAAACATCCTGCAGGAAGTTCAGATAGTCTTTTTGCCTTTGAAGAGAGTTCCCATAATCTTTAGAGCTTGAAGGTCATTAGGCTTGAAGACCCTATTCTAAAATATAGGTGCTTGTTAAAGCTAGTAGCAACTAGATATTAAAGTTCCAGTGGAATTCGATGATTACACAACTCCGCAGAAATAGTGAAAATGGATGAAAAAGCTTTGCAGACATTTGCAATGAGGAATGTTTGAGGCCCGGATAATGAGTTCACACACAAAGTGAAACTATTAGGATCAAACTTGGTATCAGAAAAGAGAAGTTGGCAGTATCTAGGACATCATTTGACACTGCGTTGCAAATTTGGGTTGTTGGCTCCCATCTTATTCCCAGGTTAGAGCCTCAAAAAGAGGAAAGCCCTTTATTATCAGATTACATATGATTTTCATTATCAGAAACACTAGAAAGTATATTAGTAGAAAACAAATGAGAATTTTCCTACTTAAACATAATCTCTGAAACGTCTGTTTTAATGAAACACTGATAAATCTACAGAAAGACAGTAAAGAGCTCTCTCTTAGATGCGTGGCACTAAATGATAAGGAGTTGCGAAATCATTAGAGAAGTGTTAGATGGGAGTTACTAGATCATATTTAAACTCCTGAACCAGAGTTCCTCAGCAAGTAAAAGGTGGTATGGCAGCTGTTCAACGTAAAAAGTTGTAAAAGAAAGTTGTAAACATTGAGCATGATATTTGAGTTTGCTCTGCCTTTGTCTCCAAGTGCTAGCTGGGACAGTGAATAGACGTGCTTACGCGATTTTACGAATGGCTCTAATGACTAATTTTACCTGCAGAAAAGAGGAAGAGATTCAAAGTCAATATTATTGCAAGTCAAGCTCTGGCTGTACTATATTTTAAAGTGATATTAACAATATCTAAAAGAAATTGAAAATTATTGCAATTTAAGGGCAGAAAATGAAGTAGGTCTTATTTAGCGGTGCTAGAGTAGTTTTGCCATATAGAGGGGTGTAAGGTATTCTAGTTTTTTAGACATACAGTATCGCATTGGTAAGGTCCACGCCATCTTTTGGCACAAATCATGGGAACAGGAAAACAGAGTATTGAAACTGAGCCCTAAGCAAGGAAGTTGTTTCAGCAACTTTTATTTCATGTTTGAAGGCTTATGTGATGACTGATGAGTTAAGCCCAACACAGGGACCTAGAAGCTAAATTCTACCTTGCTTAATTCTTTTGTTGTTCTACTTTTGTAGAAAAGCACAGATGTAGTGCCAACAGAATTCATACAGGTACTTCATCTTGGGTTGGAGGAGCAAGCAGTGGTAGATGGTGGCTGAAGGAGCTTTCTTTGGCTGGCAGTTGAATGCAAACAGTAGATATATTTACAAGCAATAATATTTGCTAACAAGGACTGTGCCATGGCTTTCTGATAATGTTTGATGAGTTGGCTTAGCTTTGTTTGTAATTGATAAGACAGTGCTGCAAGTAACAGTGCCTCAACGTAGAAAACCAGATAAATATATTTGTTAATGTAAATATGAATACAACAGGTGAAGATGAATTTATAAAACACCATCCAGACCTACATCAATAGAAAGTTCTAATTCATCAAGTTGATTCAGGAACAGTTAACAATAACTGAAAGGCTGTTGCTTAAAAAAAGGCCTGCAGCAGTGAAATGTGCCATTAAAAAAAAACCCCACGCAAACTACCCGTGAGTAAAGCTTTGTATGAACTGCTAAAAGCGTTCAATTAAAATGCTGGTAAATCTCTACTGGTAAGAGTAAAGCAGTTAGTATAATCTTGATAAACATGCTTCTGAGGTATGAAATATATTACTTACCCATGAGAGGGATTAATCAGCTTTTTTGTTTACAGTAAATAAATAATGAAAAAGAATAAGAAAATTACTACAATATGACTGTATCAACTGAGCTTTTTCAGTTCTCTATTAGCTCTCAGCCTGAGTAGTCAGTATAGGTAATTATGTATAGGAATACAAAACATATATAATGTCAAAAGGAACTTGTTTTGTGGCCAGGAAGTGTTTGATCTGGGCATTAAAGTAAAATTCTGCAGCAGGAAAGCACTTAGTTTCAGCAAAAGAGTTTGTGGCACAATATAAAGCCAGTTGAGCTGTTTGTAAGGCACTGTAGGATGGAAACAAGCATTCCCTCTGCTTCATATTAATAAACTACAAATAAGTATGGGCATCCTGAGCAGCCCTGTGGAACATCAAGGAACATTGACTGCATAACACTGGGCTTAAGTGCAATTTCTTGAATAATTATGGCAAAATGTACAAATGGTCTGAAAAAGAAAAAAAGTATTTGAACGTATTTCTTGCAGTCATATGGGTCTCCAACTGAGAAACCATCTGATCTTTGTTCTCCTCATATTTCTAGCATTATAATTTGTTGCCATGGAGAATACGAGCAATGTATCCTATTCCTGTAGTACTGTTTCTCCACTAGGACATTTTCTCCATACCACGTTGAACCTCTCCCCTGAAATGATCTGCAGAAAATGTGAAATGTGTGAACTGCGAGGAATGATGGTGTAGCCTTTTCGCAATGCACAGAATCCTATCAACGCCAATGGGAACCTGGTGGGCAGAATGGGGAAATGACAACATCATGTCTGAGGAGCATACAAAGTGCCAAGCATGTGTTGACTTTGAGCGTCCTCTCCTGTTTTCTTGTAAGAGAGGCAATGTAGCATCTTCATACATCAGTACTTTCCAGATTACCTAAAAACGAATGTACAGATCTGGTGGGTGTAATCAGAGCCACATTTTGTCTGTTTTATGTTTATGCCACACTATTAATAAAAGATTTGCAGTCCTCTTCAATTTCCTTGTGCCCAACTGCAGGAAAATGGTGTCAGGGTTATGCTTGTATCTGTTCAAAGGCGTTGATGTCCTGTAAATATTGTGTCTTCAGTAGTCCTGCTTGTTGCCTATTAGAGCCTTTGCATCCTATGTTCTTTTCTCTTGTCCTGGGCCTGCCCTGACAAACGTTCCCCAGGGTGAACACCACTGGTGGGTAGAGGAACAAATGGCTGTAGAAGAGTCGCTATATGTTGGATGTGCTTTTTTGCTACTTACTAAAAAACGTATGGGGTGGGGTGTGACACACTATAAGGAATGATATGCATAAAAGAAATGTGCAGACACAGATTGTGCTGGAAAAAGATGCCAGTATCCCTTGTGCCACCTGTTCTGTGTAAGAGAGCAAATATGGAGGAAAAAGAATATTTACTGATTTTTGGCAGTCACAGCAGTATTTGGTGAGGATTTGGGATACCCACAAAAGTAAGAAGAAGTTATGTGTTTGCTTAATCCTTTACTAGAAGTGAGAGAGGACCGATGGGAAAAGCTTTAGTTCTGCCCTCAGTCACGCAGCCAATGCAGCTTTGCTGTTGCAGGGGTTTTAACTGTCATTCTGACAAGTCAGTAGAATTACTGTCCATCTGTGGAAATGGTAATGGTGGAAGGTTTGGAAGAGGGAAATACAAAATTTGTTTTCCTATGGGAAAGGTGTATGAAACAGCTGCTGTTCTGCAAAGACATAGTCTGTAACCAATAACATCTCTCTTGCAAGACGAGCTTCTGGAGAGGTTATGCCACGAGTAGGTGTCACTGCTGTGTCATGCAGTGCTTACATGTAGACTGACACTCCCGACAGACAAATGTGCTCGTGTGAAGAGATATGCAGTTCAGAGATGTCGTGTAATCTGTGATTTGAGAGCTCAAACTCACCACAGATCTCCCAAATTTCCATTCAGTGTGTATCATTTGTTTGACTTACTTCGAAAAGATAAACTTGTGCTGTGCTCAAACTGGAAAATAGCAGTGCATAGTAAAGCAAAATACTTTTGTGGAAAGCATAACACCTTTCTGCCGCTTCTAGCAGCAGAAGGGAGAGAGCATAAACTACGTAGAGTAGATGCTAGTTATGATGTTTCACAAACTACTGGAAAGTACATGTGGTAATAAGCTTGGCTTAAGAACTTTATATATAAACTAGAACAGAGAAAGGAAAGATTTTTTTTTTTTTTTTAAATGGGAAACATCAAACAAATTACTTATAGTAAGTGATTTTCCTCCATCTAGTTGTTGTTTTTTATGTTGTAGAAAGACTGATTGAAGAGACAATGAAGGAAAGATGAAAGTGCCCACCTTTGTTTTAATATTTACTGAAAACATCTATAATAAGTTCTCTGGAGTGTTGAAGGGAACAACTTTGTGCGACAGACCTACCAGAACTTCTGAACTGAATTTCTGTGTCCTGCCAGTTCCTGGAATAAAACTGTAAACAAAGCAGCAACTATAGTGTTTCACAGTCTATTTCAGATATTGGATATTACAATCTAAAGGAAGGTTTCCTTTGGGTCCTGTGTACATTAGTCTCAATTCTCTGCAAGAGAAATATGCAGCTTGTTGTCTTGGAACACAGTGATATAGCTTGTATCTTAAAAGCCAGACAGAAACATTCTTTATATGGCATTTAAAATAAGAAAAGGAAAAGAGGGGGGAAGAAATGTTGTAAGGATTTTTAGCAGGAAGTACTACAGTCTTTTCTAAGCTATGTATCTGTATGGCATTAAGAGAGAGAGATGAAGTAGACAGAGAAGAATTGAGTAATGAAATTCCTAATATTCTTTTTAGGTCTTTCATGGCATGCTCATAGGGGAGAGTATTCTATTTAAGGCAGGTAAAATAATCACAATGACGATGAAGACTTCTGTTGTGACTGAAAAAGGTAAAAATAAAGCATGGTGCTAGCAAGCAGCATGCATTAGTTTGCTTTCAAACTGTTTTCCCTAGAGACTTCTGGTAGACAAGTGAAGACTGAGTCATCCAGGGGAGCAGGGATTGATACTCAATTCTAGCAATGGAATAAACACACTTCTGTTTCAGGAATTGGGACTAAATCTTAGTTTAATGAACTGTAAATAATCAAAAATGTAACACCTATTCTTAGACAAAGGCATTTCAAATGTGACTTGGCAAATCCAATGTGGTCCAGGAAAATCAAGAATTTTTTTAAAGGGCAAAGTTATTGAAATTGACTTCTTTGATATAAGCCACATCTATTGATCTTTCAACTCAGTTCACTTCAATAAACTATTCATGGAGCAGCTTTGAGACAGATCAGTTAATAAGACTGAGATATTAAGGTAAACCCAGCTACTTATAACCAAAGTTTAGGGATGCTTTTTCTTTGGAAACGCATATTTGGAATCATTCTTGTAGTTTACCTGAAGAATTGTTAATGCTTTACTCTCAACTCTGTATTTCCCCCTTTCCTTCCCAATGTGATTCTGTTCATTGTAATGACACAGAAGTGCATTTGTAAACTTCATTAATAATAGCAAAGCATAGAAGATGATGGGTTGCAGAAGCAGTGACAGCCTGAAAATTTGCTGCTTTGGATACTTTGTTAATGGCTTCTGTGTTCTTCATAGCTGCATTGTTCGCTTATTTGTAAGGCTGAAGTGTACGCTGGGTGTATATGGAGAATAAATGTCTGCAAGTAGAAACAAGGTAAAAGAAAATAAATCTATGATTTAAGGGTGTAAAAGAAAACAAGAGAACATAAAATAATATATTCCAGTCTGGAAGGATTTGCCTTTTTAATCATAAGCTCACAATTACTGTAATAAGTGAAGCGGTGAAATTCAAACAGTGGTTGTGGTTCTGTGTTTCATGGGCTTGGTGTTACCATGAGCCTGTTTAATCTCTAAAAGAATTCAAGGGCTAGTACATACCTTTACTTTTAAAGGACAAACACGAGTTACAAGCTATCAGCTTGCATGTGATCGTGACTTCTGAAGTCTCCATTCCGGAATAGAGAAGTGGATCATGGAAACTGATAATTGGCAACACATCTTTGTCCTTATGAAGATCTTGTTTGTTCTTTTGTTTAAGATAAAATACATGTTCACTTAACAAGCATCTTGTGTAAGGAAGAGGCTAGTTTCCAGCGTGAAGTTGTTCAATCAAGTGGTCTCTAGCTTTACAACGTACTATCTGAAGTGCATTTACAATCGGTAACTAAACCATTCTTTCAAATACTTAATAGGGTGCAAATCAAGATAACTAATATTTTTGCATGTCTTTCAAAGTGTAACAAAAAAGAAAATGTCAAAGCAGATTAGAAGTTAGAAATCAGCATTCCAAGATTTGCACAAGTTTGTGAGGAGGGAATAGATATGATTTTTTTTTTTTTTTTTTTTTTTTTTTGACTGAGGACGGGCCTCACTGAAATTTGTCCTGCTGATAAAGAATAGACATCCTTAAAATTTCTTAGAAATTCAAAAATCCTTTTTAACTTTAGGTTAATTAAGAAAACCTTAAGGAAGCACACCCCATGTAGCATATTTCCTAATACAAAAATATGAACAAACAACTGTATGTTCAGGAATTAGACTCCTCTGTGATGACCTGAAATAATAACATGGTTCCTTCTGAAGTATAATTTCTCGTGTTGCCATTGTCGTCTGAATTATCTTTATCCAATCTCTTTCAGGAGCTGGTGGCTGGTCCCCGCTGGACTCAAACGAGCAGCAGTGGCTCCAGGTTGATCTGGGAGACAGAGTGGAGATTGTCGCGGTCGCTACCCAGGGCAGGTACGGGAGCTCAGACTGGGTAACCAGCTATACACTGATGTTCAGCGACACCGGCCGCAACTGGAAACAGTACAGACAAGACGACACCATCTGGGTAGGTCTGAACTGCGGATGCCTTTGGCTCCAGATCTTTCTGGATCAGGCTCTCATTTGGAGAAACGGCTTTGGTTTCAGATCAGAGGAGTGCTGTAGTGGTGAGGGAGCAGACCCGAGCGAGTCTACAGGGTGTTTAGATCTAAATGGGTTATGTCACCGACTGTCTGTGTAATACAGGTTTAAGCCCTCAGGACTACATTGTTTTTCAGACTATGAGGATGCTCAGGGCACTCAAAATGACCTGCACGCTTCTGTGCCTGGTTGGCTTTGATTCAGGCACACCAGGGTAAATGGGGCTAATCACTTACATACTTTCTCTGGGAAATACGGACATTAACTCCGTGTCTTATGCACGCTTGCTGGCCAGAACAGCAGAGCTCATGCTGGGGGAAGTGGGTGGTAAATTGCTCCTCGGCTGGAGAAGGCTGGAGCTGCAGCACGAGTTGTGGGATAATTTAGCAGATACACTGAAAGTGCTCAAGGCTTTTCCTAAAATTTTAATGCAGGCTTGACGCTTGCTGTGTCACAAGTTCAATGTGTGGCCATGCCAGATGCTGTCAGTGCAATGCCACCTCAGGTTTGGATGGAGAAGTTTAAAAGTCTTCCTTTCATATGGAAAATGTGAATTGTTAGTGAATTATTAATGAATGGTAGCATCCTCTCTGTGCTCTATTCTGTATTTCTGAGGATCAATAGCCTTGCTAGCATGACAGTATGCAGTAGTAAATTAAACATATTCTTCATGAAAATAAAAGGAAACATTTTAAGGGTGATCAAGAAGACTTCTGGTTTTGTCTTAAATTTTTCTTTGGTTAACATCTTGCTTAAATGTTGTGTCTCAAAAGCGGATTTTGCTTTCAGAACATAATGATTGTGAATGAGGAGAATTGTGCTGCAGTAGGAAGAAGGAAGAAGGGCTGCTTAATTTTTTCCTGAGCATGTTGCAGGCAGTAGGGATGCATGTACGGGGAGAGTAACTTCTGCAGTTTTAAAATCCATTGCATTGCCACTCTCTTTGTTTTATCATGGTTTGATTTAAGGAAAACTAATGAAATCCTTCTTCCTTTAGAAAGGCACCTTTGGCCCAAAGATGGTCATAAAGTTGTCAAGTGTGGCTCTCCTTCACCTGTCACTTATGAAGTTATATTAGGCTGGCTTTGCTCCAGATACTTATACTTTTTTTTTTTTTTTTTTAATGTTTAAAAACAGTGGAATTTCATTCTGGACTTAATATAGTGATCATTTAATCTGGCTCTTGACTTCCACCCTTGGGACTCAGAAATCCAGAACTAAGATATATTTACAGAGTTGGTGTCATTAAGTGCTTCCTTCCCTGAAAATATTATGTGTCTTTTAAAAATTTTATATTAAGACAAATCAATTTTTTAGTTGTCTAACTTTTCAGTACTTTTCTTTTTGGAAACCCTTGATCTTTTATTTTCTTTTGTAATTTTTTCTTCTTAAAGGGAAACTTGAAAAGAAAACATGTAGAATTTACCATAGCATATCTTCATGTCCTAAGGATCCAATTTTGTGAGTTTCTGATCTGGCACCTAGTATTGCACACAAGAATAAGAAAAAGCCTAGCAGGCATTTGACAGTGAATTAGGATTTATGAAGAACCTGAACTCTCTTGTTTTACTAAGTGATCGGGCATGAAGGTGATTCAGAGCAGACCCTGACACAAGTTCTAAAGCTTCAGTAGATCTGGAAGCATGCTTTCTGGAGGGGTAATTTTTATACACTTTTTAATGGAAACCATCATAGGCTACAGAGGATAGTGTTGTATATAACTGAGGAAAAATGAAATAGAATTTAGATTTGGAAAAGGTAACTCTGGAGGAAGGATTTGGATATTCTTTCCCTCGCATTAGTTTCTACAAGTTGCACTGACCATGCAAGCCAGTAACATAATTCCAGTCCAGAAGAATGATTTGCTCCACATCCCCAGGGCTTGAAAGGATTGTTAGGATGCATCACCAAACTTTGCTGCTGGAAGAATCTGTTAGTGAAAATCCAAAGTGGGCTCATTTGACATTTCATTAGACTTCTACAGTCCACCCAAACTGGCAAGTCTCATTAACACCTAGGAGCTTGTATGCCTGCCCATGGAATTAATGAAGATCAAGAATTACGTGTGTACAATTTTTATTCTAACCAAAGAGAAAGTTGATTCTTTTTTTTCCTGGCACTTTTGGATTTGTTTCACTGAATTAAATTCAATCTTGAGAGCCATTCAGAGCACAAAGAGGAAAGCCAAAGAGGCTTTCAGAAGTGTGTATAGAATTATAATTTCAAATTTTGCTGTGTTTCTGCTTTATTGTCAGTAATCCTTTCCTTAGGCTTTTTTTTGTAACTAAAAAGAAAACCAGAAGTGTTCTGTCCAGCCGTTTGTTGAAGGTTTTTCTATAAAAGGCAGACCTTTGGATGAAATGAGGACAAGCACACCATGGTGCTTGTCCTAAACACCTGGCTGTTAAATAGCTGTAAGGGAAGTTCTGCATTGCACACCTCAAGGAAAGAACCGTTGCCCTTGACTTAAGGGAAGGCAGTGGAGTGGACCATTTCACAGGGATAGGAAAGCAGCACCCCAGGGTAGCCTCCACTATCACAATCTGTGATGGTGTACACTGTACCAATCTGTCACAAGATAGGTAGTTTCAACCTTAGGAATCTGTATCCCATTCTTTTTTTGCAGTGGGTAGGGTGGTATGTCAAAGCAGGATTCAGGGTAGGAGTCTCCTACATCAGAGCAAGGTGGCAAGTTATCAGGTTACCTCTTACCCACAGGGAGTGGAGGGGTTAAAATCTAGGTTATTGTGGAAAATGTGCCACTTCGGAAATCTCAGATGATCAGGTTGGAAACATATGCGCCCCGCAGGCTTTAACTTTGAAGCTTTTTTTCTCTGTCCTTAGGACAGGATTTTAGTATTCTCTATGTCCCCCAGGAGGTTGAGCTTTTTAAGATTTCCTTTTTAAATTTTTGTGCATAGCTAAAAGGGCTAGAAGTTTACCTATTTTATTGCTTTTTGTTTCAGAAAGCTGTGCAGTTCCGAACTTAAGAGGTGGTCAACACTGACTCATAGCTCAGATGGGGCTGTGAAATCTAAACCGTTATTGCCTGGAGATCATTAGATGACGTCTGCTGTATCAATATGAAATATTGATATGCACTGTCAGGTGCTGATACAGCTTCTAGTTTAGTAAAACTAGCTGGACGTTTGTGCTTTGCTGTATGGATGTTACTGAATGTCTCACACTAATTGCTCAGTGCTGACAACTTGTCATTCATTTGCAGCTGTTGAAAGGGGAGATTATGTATCAGTATAAGGGACCTAGATTGTCTGGTGAATTTGTTTGTTTTCTGAAGGCAATATAACTATGTGGAGAACCATTTGACAGAATAACGATATATTGAATTGCTGAAAAGAAGGGTGTAAGAAGTACCTGACTTCCAAGGCAAGCATTTGATTTAAAGTAGAAATTTGAGGTTTCACTTGGTTTTAACTTGTTTGCATTCCAGCAAAGGAAAACAGGGTCTTGAAATTTCTTCTCCACTATGTCTGTTAAAATAAAACTGGCAGAAATCCTTAATCTCTACTCAACCCAAGTCAGATTTGAACTACAATTTCTCCCAGCCCATCTGCATGACCCAGAGACAAAGTTATGGGGTATTCCCCGCTGGCTGTACCGGAGGGCTCTCTTGGAGGAGGACGTATTGACCCAGCCTTTCCCCACTGCATGTCATGGGCCATCGGCTACATTTGGTGGAGACAGCAGGAAGGCAATAGCTCCTTTCATAATCCCTGAGTAAATCTTCCCAGATGAAACTTTTCCTAATCATGTCTTCACAAATATCTGATGCTCCATATTGCAAGTGGTGCTCCTGAGGAGTTGTTTCCAGCCATCTGGGTATAGGTTTTGTCCACCCGTATGGCATATGTGTCCTTTAGTGCACCTGAGACCTGGGTACATAAATTCTTTATTGGGCTGCCGATAAGACAGACATTTGCACACCAGTATATATGACACATCACTAGTAAAAATCCCTCTCTCTTTATCGAGATTACAAGGCTTATTATCCTCCTCTCATGGCATGCATACAGCTCCCATCAACTTCACCGTTAATGAGCGCTGCATAGACAGATCGCAAGGAGAATCAGAAAACCTCTTACGTTTTCACTCAGCCTGTGTTTATGATGTTAGTAAATTCTGCAGCTGGAGTTGAAGACAAGACAGATTAGCCATTTAAAACCAATTTTCCAACCCCATTTGTATTTAAATAATCTTGTTACAAAAGGACTCTGTGGTTCAGAGCAAACTAGACTTATAATTATATTTTCAATACGGATAAATCAGCTGTGTGTGGACACACTAGCTATTGACTGGGAGACGTAAAACATAAATCTTATTGCTTGTAACAAGTAAATGATTTTTTGGTGTTTTTAAGTGTTGAATAATTCAGAATTTACTTTACCTGCATACGCACCACAGCTTGAGTCAGTCCAAATTGTGTATATTACTGGGACAAAAGTGTGGGCTGTGATACAATGCTATTTCATTTTAGATAGCAATTTTTACGCTATCTATATTGAAAAATACTTTACAAAGCTGAAAAATGCAATTATGCAGGAAGACACAAGGGAAAGGGGATGGAGCAGGCCTAAGTGTATGCAACAAAAGGAGAAAAAATGTTCTTTAGACAAGGTTTTGAAAGGAGAAAGGGAAGTTATGGATTTGGAGATAAAGGGAGACTGCTCTGATGGTGGCAGAGAAGGCTCTTATATTAGAACAATGAATCTGTGCAGAAAGGCAATGAAGGGGAAAAATGGCATAAATAGCAAGGAGATACTTCATACTCTGTGCAAGCACATGCACATACTTGCACATATTAAGCAGATGTTTGGAGTTGACTGTTAGTTGGTGAAGCTTTTTTACACATTTGCTGTCAACCGCACACGGAAGGGAGAAGGTGGCTTTGGGTGGAAGGGAGACTGC